TCCCGCCAGCGCCTCCGGGGTCCTGGGCGCGCCGCCGGGGTCACCCCCACCCGCGCGGCTCTGCGCGCCCGGCCCGGCCGGACCCCGGCGCTTTGCTGCACAGAAAGTGGGGAGCACGGGCGTGTTCGAGGGCGTCTGCACCCTTTCTGCCAGCACTCCAGGTGGGGTGCGCGCGGTGTCCCCGGACACCTGCCTTCTAGGAGCTCCCTTGCACGCCCATTGCCTCCCGCGCCTGGTGGATTTGAGTGTCGCTGGGTGAGGGGCGCCGGGAATGGTCCTACGCGGCGCTCGCGGCTGCAGCGAGCGGCTCCTCGGGCAGAACAGGTTCCTTCCAGTTCGGATGCGAGCCTCTCGCGGGGCGCCGCGGTCCCCGAGTTCCTCCTCCCGCACCCACTTCCCCTAATTTCGTCAACTCGCACACCCCCACAGTTCTTCTTCCGGGCGGGGCTGTGTGAGTGCCGCAGTGGCCCCGGGGAGCAGGCGGCCCGGCGTCTACGGGTGTCCTGCTTTCTGCCCTTTTCTGCATCAGCAGCATCCGTGTGGAGGGAAAGGGATGTGAGCAGCCGGGCTGAGTCAGCATCCCCGGCCGGGGGCGCGCGCGCACCGTGCTCCTGGGCGGGCGGCGAAGTCCACACAGGTGCTTGGCTGCCTACCCTGCGGGGAGCCCCCGGTAGCAGAGGGACCCGAACGTTTAGGGAGTACGTGCCCCCCATCCCAAAGACCCCGGCCCCAAGGTCACTGTGCACTAGGCAGAGGATGCATGGGAAACCTCAGTCAGAAACCGTCCTGGGGACAAAGCAGTGTGTCGGATCCCAGGCTTATCGGAGCCCACGGGGCGCAGGCTGGGCTTCCTGGTCTGCGCCCCAGGGCCCTGGGGGACCTGGTCGGAGGCAAAGGCCCTATTCCCCGCATTCGCCTGCCGACTTTGGCACCGGCCGCTCCCTTCTCCCTTCGTTGAGGTTCGCAGACTGTGGTTCTGACGCCGGACTCCTGAGAGCCTAGTCTGGGAGTGTGTGCACGGAGGGTCGCCACCAGGAGGAGTGGGCGGTCTGAATTTTGATTACGAAATCCCTCTTTGCTTGCCGCCTGATTTCCCTCACGATTTTGGGATAGTGGCTACTGGGTCAAATGCCGTTCTGTGCTGTTACCAAGCTCAGGCGTGGGTTAGCTGGGGGCAGGCGTGCCGGTGTAAAGTGCTCTGTTAGGGTCGGTAACTGTACAGTCAGGGGCCACTGATTAGTTTGCATCCTTGTGGGAGTAACTCTGAGCGTCGACTTCCAAATCCGTGAAATGGGGGACAATGGTGGTACTCCCAGAATTGAAAGGTTTGATTTACGATGTCAGGAAAGTTCAGATTCAAGCGGCCGGCATATGGCAAACCCTCAGTACCTCTTCGTTCTTATTATTTATGGCTCACGAAGTCCAATTGCTGACTCCTACACACCCCCTGGCAAGCCATCCTTTACTGAGTCATTTTCCAAAGAATCCACAGGTAATGAAACTGATTGTAATCACTAAAATGAAAACAGTTAGTGCTCAGATGGGACAGACTGTAAATGTAATCTTTGATATTTAGGACCTCATAGATCACTGGGACCTGTCAGTGCACTCAGTATGGAAATGTCATATTTAGCATGGCACAGCATCCCCTCTATTCAGTTTTGCTTAAGAACCTAGGGGCACAGCCTGGCATTTTCAACCGAGTGACTCTAAGCGAGTCCCAAGAGGTCTTGATACTTCAGTTTCTGGATCTGAAAAATTAGAGAAATAATGGCCGAAAGCCCTAGGTGTGAATGGATGATTGGGAAAGTCACATCCGAGTATCTGACCAAATGAAACAACTGGCTGTGTGGGGACTAGCACTGACGATGTGTTAACACTCTTATTTTTCTTAATATTAATTTCAATAAATTTTTGCATGTTCGCTTTGTTTTCAACACTTTATTAAGTGCCTTCCCTGAGACCCGATTTTAACCCATCATCAGACTTAGGCAGCTGACACTCATCCTCATTTTATAGGCGAAAACATTTGAGGGAGGCACAGAGCACTGGCAGGAGTCGTCCAGGGTTTCACGACACTTATAGACACACACTGGGCCACTTTGCAAGTAGAGCTCATCCGAAGATGATATTTGCCACAAGAGAGTTGGCTGGAAACCCACCTCTCTCCAGCCTTGCCAACCACAAACCAATGACTTTTGCCCATGCCTAGTTAGAGGTTGCCTTCACCTTGTTCCCTCAATCCTGGTGAGATCAAGCTTGAAAACCCCTGCTTTTTTCACTCCTCTAGGGAAAGCAAAGAGAGGGAGAGCATTGCATTGCCATGGTAATCA